GGGTTTTCATACTAAAACTAAATATATATGTTGAGCGTCAAATTAATATGAGTTATCAATCAATAAATAAATGTAATCCCTATGTATTTGATAAGTTTTGTCTGTGTTTCATTTTTAATAGCGTTATTTAATATTGAACATAATTAGATTTATACCCTAGTCACTATATTAAGATCGCAGGGTATAAATCAGTTATGTTTATAAGCGGAATGAAATCCGCTTATACCCATGCTACCCAATGTTTATAAGCGGAATGAAAATCCACTTATACCCATGCTACCCAAAGTACAAATATTTCATAAGGTTAACATTGAATACTTATAGAACTTTAAATAAACTTCAGAATAGGACTCTGCAAGTGCTGACACACGTACTATTTAAACTTAGTACCCATGCCTGGCGTTATGCTTAATGGGACACATGCTGTCACTTGCAGACCCGAATATAATTAACATATATGTTGTGCCTCAGATTAACACTTGCGTCAGATGTCAGTTGCATAATGATAATTTGACTAGAATTAACCCAATCCTGACCTAACTCTGACCCTAACTTAGGCCAAAGCGACATCTGACGCAAATGTTAATTTGAGGCACAACGTATACAATTTAACGAACTTTGTCCCTGGATAATTAAATTTAATTACCCTTTAATTTACGTATTGCTAATTAGACTTTTCAGAGATTAATTTTTTTGTAACTTGAAACTCTAAGTTTAGTTCTTATTATTAAAAAAGCATTTTATAAAAGTGATTAATTTATTAACGTACGTGATTAATGTGTACAGTATATTTAAGTTCACTAATATTTACAATATTCATTCGCGTTAATTTTGTGGGTAAGTATAAAGGCCATTAATTCATCAGCACATATTTAAATTTACTATCTTCCATCCTGTTAATTTAATGACGATATAAAATTTATTAATCCATAAACGCACTTAAAATACTTCTCACTAATTATCAACATATTTAAAAATAAGCATTCAATATTTTTCTATTTTTCGTTTAATAGGAATTTGAGATATCATACTACAGTATTATTTTACTCAATTCAGTACAGTACTAATATAGAATAGTACACTTCGAGTTTAGTACAGGCAAAACACAGTAGAAGATTCTACGGTTCGCATTGTATCACGCCACATAGCATAAAAAATTTAAATTATTAAGAAAGGACTCAATGTAATTGAAATTAACTTTGATCAAACGATAATATTGAAACAAAGAAATCAGACCCATCTGAGAAATAAGCACTTCTAAATACACATATTGGGGTACAATTAGATAATATAATTTTATAGTATACCAAATGATAATGAAACAAAGAAATCAGACCAATCCGGATACGTAAGCATTTTAATTATTCCATATTGAGGCACAATTGAATAATCTGCAGGCATAAAAATTCTCGTCGGATTTTGTCGATCATAATCGACGAGAAAAAAATTTTTTATCTCAAAAAATCTTACCTATGTAACAACTTTTCATACCCTAACAAAGAAAATTCCACTCGTAATTTTGGCAGGAAACTATACTTTAATTTCTTATCTAACCCTAACCTAACTCAATCTAACTCAAAATAACTTTAATTCAAATTAACTTAATGCAATCCGATGTCAATCATTCTAGACCGATGATCGACAAAACTTGGCGCAGAATTTTTTAAGCTTCCTGCAGTTCCTTATCGCAGCTTTATTGTTTTAAGCTGTACAAGTGTACTAACTTGGAAGCGTGAGATAGAAATTTATGAAAAGAACTTCTAAATTGGTTCAATTACATAAAGCGTTTGCATAGATCAATATCATAACAATATAAAAAATGTTCAATAGTGATAATAAATACGGCTGGGTTTTTCAGATAAGAATAATTTAAAAACTCAACAATATTTCTGTTCCTCAACGTTTAAAAAAAAAAAAAATTACAAAATGATCTCTCAAATCGACACTTGTTTTTTAAATATAGATACTCTAATAAATTCTCAATTCCAAGATGGTATCCAAAATCAGTCGGATATTGAACAAAAATTCAAAGAGACATTTACATTAATTAATGAATTGGAAGCCGATGATGATTATCAACATAACTCATATAAATACAAATATCATACAACTTATCGTAACTATCTAAGGGTGATTGGTGATGAAGAAGGTGCCAATAAGAACGAAAAAATAGCGAAAAAATACGAAAAATATGTGAATGCTCATACTGAGGAAATGAAGCCCGTATTGTATGCGAATGATGTAGAATCATGTGCTGACAAACAGGATAGTAGTCTTGAAAACAAAATTTTAAAAGAATTAAACCAGATTCGTCCAATTTTAAAAGATGAATTGACTGAAAGTGATGTGGTAGAAACACTTATTAGTGAGATAAAACGGGTTTTTGAAAAACTTAGCAAGGTACCCAAGACCTTTGAAGGTTATCGAGAAGCAATAGATTGTGAGATTTATATGAATAGAATAGTAGAAGGTTTAGTTCATGAAAAGTTAATTGTTTTAAAAGGCAATAATAATGAAAAAAAACATGACAATAAGTCTTCAAAAATTAAAAACGTTAGTATTGAGTTGATAGGCCATTTGAGATGTTTAGAAGCATTCGCACATGACGCAGCATATTCAAAAAGAATAGAAATTGTTTCATTTTTATCGGATTCTTCAAACAAATTGGAACTATTGTTCCGAAATGTTATAAATACAGAAGAAGAAATTAATAAACGTGCTAGAATTCTTAGTTCATGGTTTCACCCTGATAAAACCAAAAATCCAAAAAGTCCATATATGCTTCGAGATAAACATAAAAGTCAAGGCGATGAATTATTTAAACTTATTCTAGGATTTAAGGAACATTTGTTGAATAAGTTGAAAAAAACCTTAGAATTAGATAACTATGTACAATATGGACGTGAACTTTGGATAACTACTATTGATTATCATAACGCATCAAAAGGACAATGGGATAAACTAAAAGAATTAAAAGAAGAAATTGTTCAAGAGCTCCCTTCTGAGTCATTAAAACAGCATAGCATGATTTATGGAGAATTGGCTTACCATCAATATCGAGCAGCATGTAAAATTGCGGATAGAGCTAAACTGTTAAAACAACAAGTAAAATTGAGAGAATATATGGCTTTGTGTTTATATCACACAAATAAATTTTTAGAAGCTCCGTTATATGCTTTAGCGGCAATTCTTTTACAAGTTAAGAATTCAACTAATTTTACGCAACAAGAATTGGATTATACAAAAAGTGTACTTGATAAAGTTAATAGCAGAAAAGAGGAGGCAATAAGGAGTCAAGAAGGAGTTTCTTCCGACTCGAATACTGATACTAAATTAGAGAGTGACCTTACTAATGCGATGGCTTTAATAAGAACAAATGATAAAAAAGAACTCTCTCTCGGTAATAAAGCAGTTATTCAGAATTCAATCAATAAAAATTTAATTAGTACGGCTTCTAAATTACTTGTTAAGGCGGAACGTAGGTTAGTTTGTTATGAAACATCATATAAGGAGATTTTACAGACCATAAGGCATGCAAAATCGTATAAGATTAAAGGTGCTGCAGTTTCTGCGGGAGGAGTAGGAGTAGGATCAGCAACATTATTAACCGCCGGAGTAAACTTTGCACTTGCTGGACCGCTAGGATTATTTGCAGGAACAACCTGTCTTGTTGCAGGGTTATGTTATGGTTATTACCTGTTTAAAAAAGGCGATGCGATGTTTAGAGAACCAAGGGTTCGAGAAAGACTCAATAAGATCATAAATAAAGCGTTAAGTGCATATGATGGTGAAAAATATCAAGAGTTTATCAAAGTACTTTCAGAGGAATATGATGAAAACAAACGTTTATTAATTTGCCAGGATAGTGTCGGTATTGTAGAAAAAGATATCGTGAAGACACTAAAATCACATGGATTCCGATCGGACGGAATCGCATACTTACTCGTTGTAATTGGAGAAGTTTTAGGTAGTGGAAAAATAAAAATCGAAGGTGTTACACATGCAGTTATGAAAGCCGATGCAAAAAAATTTTTTCAAATGGCATTGAATCAAGATCTTGTGGAAGAGGCATATAAATTAGATGAATGTACAAGCAAATTACGACAAACCAGTCAAGGGAGCCTTGAGAGATATGTTAAAAGTGCTTGCGGTAAAATTAAGGATTTTGTATTATCGGAAGAACGTACAAGACTGGCTTTAGAATATCTACAAGACTCTCTGGAAATGCCCTTTTTTTCAAGATTGGAAGAAGTACGTAATATTGCAAAGATCAATATTGCAATTCTTAATATAATAGAATATGATGATGAAGCGTATAAAGAGGCCAAAAAAACTGTTGAAGAAGTTCGAAAATCTGTAAAAGAAAATTATCAATTTGTTATTAAATCTAAATTACGCTTAGAAGTTTTGGAAGATTTCTTATGGATAATTAATGGTGAAGATCTATCTGATATTAATGGAGATCTATCAGATTTATCTAATACATCTTTATTAATCACATTTCACGCTGAGGTCAAGCCAGGTGATGATAAATATATGAATTATTTGAATAACCAACGATCTTCAAACCAAAATAAATATTATGAAGCGGTTTACTCTGAATATTTGGCCAAAAAAGAATCCAAAATTAACAAATTAAACAGTTTACGTTATTGGCAATCTGCTCAAGAAAATTATGATATTGCACGTGGAATAGAACCTGATAATCCGATTTATTCCCTTGGATATGCAAGATGTCTATTAAAATTATCTAAATATACTCAAGTTATCAGGCTTTCTGATACATGTCCAGCATTAAATTCTCTATCAGAATACTGGCATTTGCGTAGTGTAGCTTATTTTAAACAAAAAAAGTATGAAGACGCTATGTCATGCAATTCTGAGGCATTAACTTTGGATCCTGGAAATAATTCGGCTGGCAAGCATAGAGAACTTATCAAAAAACTAAAAGTAAATAATGTGGTTAGAAACCACATTGGACTTTATAGACAAGAGTTAATATATGAAAAAGATTACATGAAAAATTCTCACAGTAATGAGCGTTCTGTCTATAATATTTTATCAATTGAT